TCAAAATGTGTATAAGAGAGGGGGGGGGGAGGGGGGAGAGAGTGTGGGGGCCGAAATGTTAATTTTATGGTGTCATAATATTTATTGAGATTCATTATCTATTCAATAATTGTGATTATCAAGTCTAATTTTTAAGTTTATTTTTTAAGTTTACGTAACATTACTCCTTACCAATTGAGATTTGTGTGATACAGGGAAAGGAATTAATTTAGGGGTCAGCGGGTCAAACTGGGGGAAGTTAAAAATATGATCTGAGGCAATTAAAATTAGAAGTTGTGTTGAGCAGGAAAAAAAAATTGTCCATCGATATGATCTGTTGGATAAGTATTTTTGAGTTGATCCGAGTGTGAGAGAGAGGGGAAGAGACAAAGGAGTGTATATCATAGTGATATAGAGAGAAGGATGCATATATGAGATAGCTTGAGATTGAGATGTGTGAAAGATGGGAGTTTAGAGTTAGACATGAGATGAAACTCTTAGTTTAATTTAGAGTGTAATTAAGATCGTTGGATCAATAATTATCAAACGATCTGAGCCGCAAAAAACTTAACGAACTAACGGTAGAAAATGACTAATATGCATGACCTTCTAAAATTAAATGTCTTAGGTATTTTTTGTTTTTTTGGCTACAGGATGTCTGAACTTGTGCTGACTATTTCATCGAGCTCAGCGACTGACTACTGTGATTTGAACTACTCTATGGCATGTCCACAAATAAACAATTGTGACTAGCCTTTGAAGGTGTGAAATTGGATTGAACCTATAACTTCTAGGCTACCAAAGGCAAGTCTAACCGGTGAACTATCCTAAAGGTTAATTAAATGTCCTAACTATCGTTTGATAATACTTTCTAATTATTTTTTTTTTTGACTTTTTTAAATACTTTTTTTTAGCAGCGTTTCTTTTTGAATATTTATTTTTAAGCTTTGTTCTTGTTGGGACTTGCTGCCTTCTTTTGACCTCAATCATATCTATAGTAACATACATATAGCATAAAGTGTATTATTGATATAATAAAATACATCTGAATCACTTTTACAAAGTAATAATTGAACATGCTTTTACTTTTATAAGAAACTAGATATTGCACGCGTGCGTTACACGTGAATTATTTTTAACAATAATTTTGATTTTATATTTATCATATCAGTATATAGGTTAATTTATTTAGAACTTGAATATTATCAAAAATTGCTTCAAAATGTGTTTTTGTAAATTATGGGTCATATTTTATAGTTTAATTGTAAATATGGTAAAATATATTGGTCACATACCTACATATACCTACCATAACAATCTCCTCTTTCAAAATATAAATATAATAAATGATTAAACTAATTTGGTCTAAGTCTAATTGGCAACTCTTCGATCTCTTAAGACTAAATCAGCTAAGATATCAAGTAGGCAATTATTCCCAAATGCAAGACTTAGTTTTTATGTCACCCTTTTTTAGGATTTTATTATATCCTCTTTCGAATTTTTTTTTAGTTCTCTGTAAATTTTTTGTTCTTTTATATAGATGTATTGTGCTAAACCTATAATATTAATTTACCAATGCATACTCCTATTAGATGAATACACAATTTTATTTATCAATAATATTTTTTAATGTGAAATTATTACTTGACACATTGGTACATATATGTGTTGCACGTGAACAAGTTTAATTTATAGTGGTGATGTTATTTTTTTTTATTATGCTAAAATAATTAAATATACACCTATGAATCAATGTATATGTCATTTGATACTTGTTGTCTAGGTATATTACATGTTACTATGTGTTCCAACCACAATAATCTTCTAAGAAGTTAGACTATATGCTAAATTAATTACTTCAAGATTGATTGATCACCCCATGAATACTGAAAGACTGATTGAGACTATATATTTTTGTGTGGTAAATTTACTATACTTGCTAAGAGTCCATAATCATTGATTGCATGAATCACGACGATACAAATTTTGTGAAAGAGAAGTTTGATAAAATTACCACAAAAAATATTGTATTTTTATAATAAAACATAAGATAATAGGATAATCAAATAAATCATTATAATGCGCCTTCAAATATAAATTAAGAGTAAGCTGCAACTTTAAGTTCCATACAAACCAATAGATAGAAGATGCACTTATTTCAGCTACAAAGACTTGTTTCTTTTGCAACAGTTATTTTGAGGTATTAGAATTTTGAGAATTATCTCTAATTAAAGAAATTTAATTTTAGTTAACTTATTTCTAGTTAAAGAAATTTAATTTTAGATTTATTGTTAGATTTATATAAATATATAAGATATTAGTAATTGATGAAAATTTCAAAAAGTCAGATTTTTAAAGAGTTTAACTCCATATAAATTTCATAAATCATTGTTATAATTTGATATTTACTCTCAACAACTCTTAAGACTTGTTTGCACTATTTGTAGAATCTATAAAGTCTACAGGTTAGATAAGTTACAATACATATTACACCAACAAAAAAATTTAGTTTTATATTATGAATCCATAAAAAAAAAAATACAGAGAAATTAATTAGAGTAATATTTGGATCAAGGATAATATGAATTTTATATTATTATTAAATCACAGTTACGAAATTAAAATATGGACTTTATTAAATTGAAAATAATATTTTTTTTGATTAGTAACTTTTTTGAATTATATATTGGTAATCATTGAATTTTGTAGGTTTCTTTAAGGGTACACACAAATTCAAAATTTTATAATTTAAGCCATAAGTGTTCATATAATTATTTAAGAACAAAATAGAAACTCAAAAGTTTTAAATGAAATTATTAGTGTGAGGTATGATTGTTTTTATAATTTTGTTTAAGGGTAAAAAAAGAATTTAAAAGTTTTTCATATAAGGTACTTTTATTAGTAGTATAGGTAGATTATTTATTTGGGTAAAAAATTTATTTAAAATAAACATTACGCCTAGATCTTTCAAACTAGATTGATTTCGTGTATAAGTATGTTACATCTATATGGATGAACACCTACCTCTGCCCATCAACTGGTACTGATGAGNAATTCAATCGCTTAAAGTATATCCATTGTATAATACAATAACACTTATCTCACCAAATGTTTACATTTAAATAAGTTATATATTACATATTTCAAAT